AGGGGGTACCCAGGAGCCGACACTACACACACTATACAGAGGGGGGTACCCCAGAGCTGACACTACACACACTATACAGAGGGGGTACCCCAGGAGCTGACACTCTACACACACTATACAGAGGGGGTACCCCAGGAGCCGACACTACACACACTATACAGAGGGGTACCCCCAGGAGCCACACTACACACACTATACAGGGGGGTACCCCAGGAGCTGACACTACACACACTATACAGAGGGGTACCCCAGGAGCCGACACTACACACACTATACAGAGGGGGTACCCCAGGAGCCGACACTACACACACTATACAGAGGGGGTACCCCAGGAGCCGACACTACACACACTATACAGAGGGGGTACCCCAGGAGGCCGACACTACACACACTATACAGAGGGGGTACCCCAGGAGCCGACACTAACACACACTATACAGAGGGGGTACCCCAGGAGCAACACTACACACACTATACAGAGGAGGTACCCAGGAGCCGACACTCTACACACACTATACAGAGGGGGTACCCCAGGAGCCGACACTACACACACTATACAGAGGGGGGTACCCCAGAGAGCAGACACTACTATACAGAGGGGGTACCCCAGGAGCCGACACTCTACACACACTATACAGAGGGGGTACCCCAGGAGCAGACACTACTACCACACTATACAGGGGGTACCCCAGGAGCCGACACTACTACACACACTATACAGAGGGGGTACCCAGGAGCAGACACTACACAGAGGGGGTACCCCAGGAGCCGACACTCTACACACACTACTATACAGAGGGGGTACCCCAGGAGCAGACACTACACACACTATACAGAGGGGGTACCCCAGGAGCCGACACTCTACACACACTATACAGAGGGGGTACCCCAGGAGCAGACACTACAGTCACACTATACAGAGGGGTACTCCAGGAGCCGACACTCTACACACACTATACAGAGGGGGGTACCCCAGAGCAGACACTACAGTCACTACTATACAGAGGGGGGTACCCTAGGAGCCGACACTACACACACTATACAGAGGGGGTACCCCAGGAGCCGACACTACACACACTATACAGAGGGGTACCCAGGAGCCGACACTACACACACTATACAGAGGGGGGTACCCCAGGAGCTGACACTCTACACACACTATACAGAGAGGGGGTACCCAGGAGCCGACACTCTACACACACTATACAGAGGGGGGTACCCCAGGAGCCAACACACTACACACACACTATACAGAGGGGGTACCCCAGGAGCCGACCGACACTACACACACTATACAGAGGGGTACCCCAGGAGCCGACACTACACACACATATACAGAGGGGGTACCCCAGGAGCCGACACTACACACTATACAGAGGGGGTACCCAGGAGCCGACACTACACACACTATACAGAGGGGGGTTACCCCAGGAGCAGACACTACACACACTATACAGAGGGGGTACCCCAGGAGCCGACACTCTACACACACTATACAGAGGGGGTACCCCAGGAGCCGACACTCTACACACACTATACAGAGGGGGTACCCCAGGAGCCGACACTCTACACACACTATACAGAGGGGGTACCCCAGGAGCGGACACTCTACACACACTATACAGAGGGGGGTACCCCAGGAGCTGACACTCTACACACACTATACAGAGGGGTACCCCAGGAGCTGACACTATACAGAGGGGGGTACCCCAGGAGCCGACACTCTACACACACTATACAGAGGGGGTACCCCAGGAGCCGACACTACACACACACTATACAGAGGGGGTACCCCAGGAGCCGACACTCTACACACACTATACAGAGGGGTACCCCAGGAGCCGACACTCTACACACACTATACAGAGGGGGTACCCCAGGAGCCGACACTCTACACACACTATACAGAGGGGGTACCCCAGGAGCCGACACTACACACACTTACAGGGGGGTACCCCAGGAGCCGACACTCACCTGTAGGCTGGGCCCTGCCATCTCTCTCTATATACAGATCACACACTGGATGGTGTTAACGAAGAGTTCTCGCTCATCATTCCTCCCTGCTGGGCTGTAAGGGGCGGAGCTCCAATGACTTAGAAAGGTTCCTCCAATCAGAGGCCACCATCCAGCATAACTGATTAGCCTGAGAGCGAGGATGATACTCCTGTATGGAGCTGCCACATTCTCCTCCAGAGGTGTCAAGGCCTCCTGTGGGGCGGTTGATGACGGGGCCTCCTGTAGGCGGTTACCCAGATGAGGCCTCCTGTAGGCGGTTGATGATAGGGCCTCTACAACTGAGGATGGTTGATGATGGGGCCTCCTGTGGGCGGTTGATGATGGGTCCTCCTTGTGGGGCAGTGTTGATGATGGGGCCTCCTGAGGGATGGGTTGATGAGGGGCCTCCTGTAGGCGGTTGATGATGGGGCCTCCTGAGGGATGGTTGATGATGGGGCCTCCTGAGGATGGTTGATGACGGGGCCTCCTGTAGGCGGTTGATGATGGGGCCTCCTGAGGATGGTTGATGACGGGGCCTCCTGTAGGCGGTTGATGACGGGGCCTCCCAGGCGGTTGATGACGGGGCCTCCTGTGGGCGGTTAATGACGGGGCCTCCTGTGGGCGGTTGATGACGGGGCCTCCTGAGGATGGTTGATGATGGGGCCTCCTGTGGGCGGTTGATGACGGGGCCTCCTGAGGATGGTTGATGACGGGGCCTCCTGTGGGCGGTTGATGACGGGGCCTCCTGTGGGCGGTTGATGACGGGGCCTCCTGTGGGCGGTTGATGACGGGGCCTCCTGTGGGCGGTTGATGACGGGGCCTCCTGTGGGCGGTTGATGACGGGGCCTCCTGTGGGCGGTTGATGATGGGTCCTCCTGAGGATGGTTGATGATGGGTCCTCCTGAGGATGGTTGATGACGGGGCCTCCTGTGGGCAGTTGATGATGCGGCCTCCTGTGGGCAGTTGATGATGGGGCCTCCTGTGGGTGGTTGATGATGAGTCCTCCTGAGGATGGTAGATGATGGGGCCACCTGTGGGCGGTTGATGATGGGATCTCCTGAGGATGGTTGATGATTGGGCCTCCTGTGGGTGGTTGATGATGGGGCCTCCTGAGGGTGGTTGATGATGGGGCCTCCTGTGGGTGGTTCTGTGGTCATTAACAAAAGGAAGAGTCAACACCAAGATCCCAATGGTCTTCATAGCTGACTATAGGGGGCCATCTTCTAATTAAAAGTATAGGAGAGATCATTCTCCCTACAGATCCCCCATGGAATGGTTTTAGAGGTTCCTGGGATCTGGGAATGGTTGTAGGGGTTCCCGGGATCTGGGAATGGTTGTAGGGGTTCCCGGAACCTGGGAATGGTTGTAGGGGTTCCCGGGACCTTGAAATAGTTGTAGGGGTTTCCGGGACCTGAGAAATGGTTGTAGGGGTTACCGGGACCTTGGAATGGTTGTAGGGGTTCCGGGTCCTGGGAATGGTTGTAGGGGTTCCCGGGACCTTGAAATGGTTGTAGGGATTTCCAGGACCTGAGAATGGTTGTAGGGTTACCGGGACCTGAGAATGGTTGTAAAGGGTTACCGGGACCTTGGAATGGTTGTAGGGGTTCCCGGGTCCTGGGAATGGTTGTAGGGGTTACCGGGATCTGGGAATGGTTGTTGGGGTTCCCGGGTCCTGGGAATGATTGTAGGGGTTCCCGGGTCCTGGGAATGGTTGTAGGGGTTCCCGGGACCTGGAAATGGTTGTAGGGGTTACCGGGATCTGGGAATGGTTGTAGGGGTTCCCGGGACCTGGGAATGGTTGTAGGGGTTCCCAGGACCTGGAAATGGTTGTAGGGGTTCCCGGGTCCTTGGAATGGTTGTTGGGGTTCCCGGGAGCTGGAAATGGTTGTTGGGGTTCCCGGGAGCTGGAAATGGTTGTAGGGGTTCCTGGGACCTGGGAATGGTTGTTGGGGTTCCCGGGACCTGGAAATGGTTGTTGGGGTTCCCGGGAGCTGGAAATGGTTGTAGGGGTTCCCGGGACCTGGGAATGGTTGTTGGGGTTCCCGGGACCTGGGAATGGTTGCAGGGATTCCTCTGGGGTCTGAAGGTTGGGAACCTCCAATATCTGGATCTGTCCTTCTCTTGGTGGTGACTCTATGGGGTTAATCTGCAATGTTCTGTTGCTAGGTAACAAGCTGCTCTCACACGTTACCATGGCGGCACCTCGCATTCCTGACCATCATCCTCTGATGTCTTCCTTGTGTAGTGGTGGGCGGGGTCTCTGGAGATACGGGGAGGGGGGGCAATGACACTCTAAAGGGCATGAATGGTGTCTCCCTTCATTGTGGCTGGAGACGGTGGGAGTCGGTGACACCATCATACCTATCAGGAGGTCAGGAACCATCCATGGCAGGAGACTCCACACCAACCTCAAGGTTCTATCTCACAAATGTTTGGATGGAAGTGTATTCCGCTTCTTTGTTCTCTCCCTGGTCCCCCCCCCCCCCATCAACATGACAATGACATCACTACATAAAACTTACCTTATTTTAGTCCCTGTGATGTCATTGCTGGGTCTCTGTGCTTCTCTATGCATTACAGGCAGATCATAGCTGGTGGGCGGCGTACATAGCTTCCCTCAGCCCTGATGTAAGCAGTGGGAGGAGTTATGAAAATAACACAATGCCTTGATGGGTGGGTGTCACTCTGGAGGAGTGGGCGGTCCTAGGCAGGCTGTATTTGCACAGGTAACACCCACAGGTGATGCTGAACCTCCATGTTGGAAAAAACTGGAATCCGATGAATGAAAAGGGGCGGGGTAAGGGACAGTCAGGCTGGGGAGGGAAGTGCTAGATGATGCTGGACGTCCTCTAGCCAGGAAATGAGGCGGAGCTCTATCTGACTGGCTGCAGCTTCTAATGCACATTGTGAGGAGCTCCCAGTGTGCAGTGACATCAGAGGAAGTCTTTCCAGTCCAGGGGAGGAGCCAATACACCTGTGCAAGACTGGAGGGGAGGAGCCGCTACGCCTGTGCAAGACTGAAGGGGAGGAGCCGGTACACCTGTGCAAGACTGAAGGGGAGGAGCCGGTACACCTGTGCAAGACTGAAGGGGAGGAGCCGGTACACCCTGTGCAAGACTGAAGGGGAGGAGCCGGTACACCCTGTGCAAGACTGAAGGGGAGGGGGTCTACAGCCTCCATTATCCTGTAGAGGGGCAGGATCAGGGGAGGGGTCTACCTATAGAGGAGGGGCAGGATTGGGGGAGGGGTCTACCTATAGAGGAGTGTGATTGGGGGAGGGGACTTCCTATAGAGGGGCGGGATCGGGGGAGGGGACTTCCTATAGAGGGGTGTGATTGGGGAGGGGAATTCCTCTAGAGGAGGGGCGGGATTGGGGGAGGGGACTTCCTATAGAGGAGGGGCGGGATCAGGGGAGGGGACTTCCTATAGAGGTTGAGGTTACAAAGGGAGGTCATTGGGTGGAAGGTGAATTGAGGTCAATGTAATCTGACCTCCAGGCTCCTCCTTTGACCCTTCCCCCAACAGTACAGTGGTGGTCCAATGAAGAATCTTCTCTCCTGTGTGCGGGAAATGGGGCCGTTCTTTGGGCTATCTCCAGGAGACTTTCTATTGGCCGTCCAGTGGTGGGGGTCTTTCAGGAACCAGAAGAAGACTGGTGTCTGTAACGGAACTGGACCCCGACTGCACTAATGTACTTCCGTTAGACTCCCTTCTCCAATCCGAACACAGATCCCCGGACACCACCGCTGACCATACAGGACGAGACACACCAGACTTGGAAACCAGGAAATAGACGGCTTTATTGTAACACAGACACAAGATATATACACTCAGGGGGCAATCCCCCCTCCCTGCATAATGACACAGGGCGGGGCAATACCCCCTCCCCGCATAGTGACACAGGGCGGGACAATCCCCCCTCCCTGCATAGTGACACAGGGCGGGGCAATCCCCCCTCCCTGCATAGTGACACAGGGCGGGGCAATCCCACCTCTCTGCATAATGACACAGGGCGGGGCAATCCCCCTCCCTGCATAATGACACAGGGCGGGGCAATCCCCCCTCTCTGCATAATGACACAGGGCGGGACAATCCCCCCTCCCTGCATAGTGACACAGGGTGGGACAATCCCCCCTCCCTGCATAGTGACACAGGGCGGGGCAATCCCCCTCCCTGCATAGTGACACAGGGCGGGGCAATCCCCCCCTCTCTGCATAAATGACACAGGGCGGGGCAAACCAAATCTAGCAACAGAGACACATCAGCAGACACCTCCCACCAAGCCAATGCACAAACACATACATCCCATAATAGTTTGCTCCCAAGCCAGACACACAATAGAACAATAGGACCACATGGCAGTAAACAATGAAAACCCCCCCCACCTATACATGTCTACACAATATCAGGACATTCACCCTGTACCTCTAACAGGCACAGGGGGACTTACACATAAGAGGGATATGGGGAGCTGAGATAGGGGTCTCCCCACCTCTCCAAAGGGGGATGTGTCCCATTGGGCCCTCCACTCAAAGTCACTCCCGTCACAGTGTCCATGAAGGTAATTGTCCAGCGCGGGGGGACATTTGTAGTGCTGGGTTCGTGGTCCCCACACCTGCTAGCAGAGGGACCCAGATGACAGACTTAGGTGGGTACGTCCTTCCAGGGGGGATGGGAGGGGGTTCACATCATCCCGGAGATGTGCTCCAGGCCAGGTCAAGACAAAAAGTGTCACCCCAGGCTCTGCTGAAGAGATGTCCATCAGCTGGATGTTGTCACCAGCTTATTTTCCCAGTGAAAGTACCCCCTCCCCCCACACGGGTACATTCCCCTCCCCAGAACAGTTGGAGATCTCATGGTTTTTATGAAGACATTACGATCTATTATCAGACTTGTGTCTGGATGTACTGCCACCTCGGAATTATCCACGGAGACGGTCCCGCTACTGCCGCAGCTTGCTGGATCCTTCCGGAACTTCTTGTCTCAATCTAGGAAGATTGTTCCAAACTGGGAAGGAAGGACCCTCCTTCACCCCAGGCTGGGAGCTCATCGTTTTTTTTTATGTTTTTTGGGGTTTTGAAGGACGTACAACAAACAAAAAGCTGCAGAGCTGTGAGATAACAATCACAAATCAACAAAAGAAGACAAGAAATCGTCTGATGGATGAAGATACGATGTCAGTGTGTGAGTGGATTAGTTGGCATCAGACAGTTGGGTGGACATATTGGACACGGAAAGATCCCACGCTTCCCAAACTGCTCCAAAAAAGGGGGACAGAGTTGGCGCGTGTAGCAGTGAGGTTCTCCATTCTTCTAATCTCAGCGAGAACCTTCACCAATTCCGACCGTGTAGGAGGCGTAGTAGACAGCCAACGCATGGGAATGGTTCTCCTGACCGCGGTGAGGACGAGAGGGTAGCTTCTTGGCAGATTTAGAGAGGCCCGGAAAGGGTAGGTCCAGTAAAAAGTGAATGGGGCCAAATGGGATATGGACCTGTAGAAGTAGCCGCAAAAGGCTGAGGACCTCTCTCCAGAAAGGTGCAATGTGTCGGCAAAGCCAGAAAATGTGGAAAAGGGTGCCAGTTTCCTCGCCAGCAGACAGGAGAAACACTCGGACCGCGAGCATGGAGAACCTCAGGAGTCTTGTACCAGAACATCAGTGCTTTCTTCATATACCACACATATAGATGTGGAGGTGGCCTCCCAGATCCTGCTCCCCCCATTGATCTCAGGGGATGGCTTGAAGGATTGGGGGCCACTTTCGCATATAAAGGTGGGCATCAGTAGAATGGGGACAAGTGTCCTGGAGCAACTTATAGAGGAAATGAGACCCCGTTGGTAAGGACCCTGAATGCAGATGGGTTTGAAGAGAGTAGGTTTCTCTAGGGTCAAGGAAGGAATCTTGGAGAAGTGTCGTATCTGTAGGTAAACAATGCTGATGAGGAGGCATTTGAGTATCTTTTTGTAACTCTGTAAAGGGTCTAAGCTTTCAGGTCACTGGGTGGACCAACTGAAACAAGTTAGCTTTGGCCCAGGGACTTATATGGGCCGGGGTCAAACTATCAGGGAGACTAGGATGAAGTATGACCTTTGTCAGAGGTGAACAATAGCTCACCTTCATACTTCTAGAAAGCCACCAATGTGAGGGAAACCCTTGAAATCTGAGAGTCTAGGCATCTTGGTTGGACTCGGAGCATGCCACCTCTGATTAGTAGCATTTGTCTGGACACGTTGACCCACTGCTAAGGACACAGAAGGATTCCTCGGGAACAAAGGATCCAAGGACTACACAGGAACTGTGCTTTCATCCCTGCCTGGACTTCTGAGGCTGGGACTCCTTCCCCCTCCAAGGATGAATGGTTCGGGATGGTGCAACGTCTGAACATTTGCCAGGTTTACTTTGATGTGAATCACATGGACCAGGGGTTTCCAAACTATGGCCCTCCAACTGTTGAAGTACTACAAGTCCCATCATGCCTCTGTGTCTTGCCTGTGGATGTCAGAGTCTTGCAAAGCCTCATGGGACTTGCAGTTCCTGAACACCTGGAGGGCCAGTTTGGACACCCCTGACATGGATGGTGGCACAGGGGGCTTGTTTGGTTTTCACGGGTTTGAAACGTTTTTTATGAAATTATTCTATCTATAAAATCATTGAAATAAAAAAAAACGATTTTCATCTAACAAATGTTTGGGGGTCAATTAAAAATCTTAAAATTCTTGAAGGGGTCAATCAGCTGAAGACTTAGGAGTCCCCCGTTAAATACTGGCCTACCTTCCCCACACTCGGAACTGAACAAGCCGCGAAACGTCTTCAACATTACAGAACAGGTCCATCCATGGACTGTATGGATGGCTATGGACTCTACATATTGACATGGATATCGGGCTCTACAGATGTCCTTGGATGGCCATTGACTGTCTGGATGACCATGGACTGTGGACTACAGATGGGGACTGGGGACTATGGACTGAGGACTTCACAGATGGCCATGGACAACTATGAACTGTATGGATGTCATGAACTCTACATATTGACATGGATATTGGGCTCTACAGATGTCCTTGGATGGCCATTGACTGTTGACTATCTGGATGACCATGGACTGTGAACTTTACAGATGTCTATGGACTCTGGAGATGACCATGGACCAAGGACTTCACAGATGGCTATGGACAGCCATGAACTGTATGGATGTCATGGACTCTACATATTGACATGGACTTTGGGCTGTACAGATATCCTTAGATGGCCATTGACTGTTGACTTTCTGAATGAGCATAGACTCTATGGATGACCATGGACTGTGGACTCTACCGTTGTCCATGAACGTTGGGGATGGCCATGGACTGATAGACTGTACGGATGGCTATGGATTCTACATATGGACATTAATCTTGGCCTCTACAGACAGCCTTGGATGGCCACAGACTGTGGTTTCTACATATGATCATTGATTGTGGGCTCTACAGATGGCCTTGGATGGCAATTGACCAAGGTCTCTATGGATGAGCATGGTCTAAATGGATGACTATGGACTGTGGACAATACAGATGACCCTGGATTTGGGGTCTACAAACAGCCTTGGATGGCCGTGGACTGGAAACTCTTTGGATGACCATGGACTGTTGACTCTACGGATGACCATGGGCTGTTGACTCTACGGATGGCCATGAACCATGGACTGTTGACTCTACGGGATGACCATGGACTGTTGACTCCATACTGTTGACTCTACGGATGACCATGGACTGTTGACTCTATGGATGGCCAGACTGTGAATTCTACATATGATCATGTATTTTGTGCTCTACAGATGGCCTAGGATGGCCATAGACTGAGGACTCTACGGATGAGCATGTACTGTATAGATGACTATGAACTGTTGTCTCTAAGGATGACCATGGACTGTGGACTCTACATATGGTCATAGATTGTAGGCTCTACAAACATCTTTGGATAGCCATGAACTGTGGACTCTATGGATGGCCTTGGACTGTGGACTATATGGATGACCATGGACTATACATGGATTGTGAGCTCTTTGGATGGCCACAGACTGGATGGCTACTATCTGTTCCCTGGCTCTGATTGGCCACGGTCCCGATGTGGATGGTGCCATAATAAAGACGCAGTACACTGGAACACAACCTCAGCCATTTATTTTACACAGAATCCAACCAATAATAACGATCCTCCATGGGCAGCCGGCCCACAAAGAGTGTTCACTGATGCCGAGAACCAGCCGACAATTCAGTCCACGGAATGTCCATCAGTGTCCACATATGTACAACCCTGAGAGTGATCATATAGAACACGTATCCACCATGATATCCACAGCTCCCCCTCCCCCACTGTTCACAGGTCTACGTTGCCCCCCTCTGTCTAACAGCCTTGTGTCACATGACCCCCTTCTCTCGTGTGGCCTCGTCTCACGTGACACCCCTCTCATACGAACTCATCTCACGTGACCCCCCCTCTCCCACAGCCTTTTGTCACATGACCCCCCTCTCTCTCTCATCGCCTCGTGTCAGGTGACCCCCCCTCTCTCCCAAGGTCTCGTGTCACATGACCCCCTCTTTCGCATGGTCTCGTGTCACATGGCCCCCTCTCTCCCAAGGTCTCGTGTCACATGGCCCCCTCTCTTTTGTGACCTCGCGTCACATGACCCCTCTTTCTCATGGTCTCCTGTCACATGACCCTCTCCCACAGCCTTAAGTCACATGACCCCCTATCTCTTGTGGCCTCGTCTCACATGACCCCCCCTCTCTCCCCCTCTCTCTCGGCCTCGTGTCACATGACCCCCTCTCTCTCCCACGGCCTCGTGTCACATGACCCCCCTCTCTCCCACGGCCTCGTGTCACTGTCACATGACCCCCCCTCTCTCCCACGGCCTCGTGTCACATGACCCCCCCTCTCTCTCTCTCTCACGGCCTCGTGTCACATGACCCACCCTCTCTCCCCGCGGCCTCGTGTCACATGACCCCCCCCTCTCTCCCGCGGGCCTCGTATCACATGACCCCCTCTCTCCCACAGGCTCGTGTCATGTGACCCCCCCGTCTCCCACGGCCTTGTGTCACATGACCCTCTCTTGTCGCCTCATGTCACATGACCCCCCACTCTCCACAGCCTTGTGTCACATGGACCCCCTCTCTCTCGTCACCTCATCTCTCACGTGACCCCCCCCCTCCCACAGCCTCGTACTGCCACTGTAAACTCCGGCGTGGTGTCTCCGCCTGTCTCTGTGGCTCCTCATTGCTCAGAGCGTGTGCGGTTACAGCAGACATTTTTGCAGGGATTTTCCAGGGGCCCCGCCGCCCTCTGGCAGGCCCCTTGCCCCCCTGCGGAGACGTGGCCGTCTGTGACACCTTGCAGCTGAAGTGTAGGCGTTCTCCGGGTGTGGATGCGTTGGTGTCGCACCAGGTTGTGTTTCCGGAAGAAGCTGCCGCCACACACGGTGCAGGGGAAGGGGCGTTGCCCGCTGTGGATCCCTTTGTGGCGCTCCAGGTTGGGTTTCTGGATGAAGCTGTCGCCGCACACATCGCAGCGGAAGGGGCGCTCCCCGGTGTGGATCTTCTCGTGGCGGCTCAGGTACTGCCGGCTGCTGAACCCCTTCCCGCACTCGGCGCAGGCGAACGGCCGCTCCCCGCTCCCACGGCTGTGCGACTTCTGATGGGCGTGCAGGTGGGGCTGAGCCACGAAGCTCCGGCGACACTGATCGCAGGAGAAGGGCTTCTCTCCGCCCACCGTGCCGTTTTGGTGGACCCGCTGATGGGCGAGGAGGTGAGAGCGGCAGGCGAAGCTTTTCCCCCGCACTCGGTACAGCGGTGTGGCCTCTGGGCGGAGTGAACCACCTCCTGGTGCCTCATTAGCGCCTTGCGGTGGGCGAAGCTTTGGTCGCACTGGTGGCACGGGAAGGGGGTCTCTCCGGTGTGCCGGCGGCGGTGGATCACCAGGTGCTGCTTGCGGCTGAAGCTCTTGTGGCACTCGGTGCAGGTGAAAGTGAAAGGTCGCTCCCCGGTGTGGATGCGGCAGTGCGTGATCAGGTCCGCCTTGCGGTTGAAGCTTTTCCCCGCACTCGGCGCAGGAGAAGGGTCGCTCGCCCGTGTGGAGGCGGCTGTGGGTCTGGTAGTTGCCTTTGTGGTTGAATTTGATGCCGCAGTAGTCGCAGGAGTACATCTTCTCCCCGGTGTGGATCCGTCGGTGGCCCACCAGGTGGTGGCGGTAATGGAAGCTCTTCCCGCACACCTCGCACGGGTATGGACGCTCCCCGCCGTGGCTGCGCTGGTGGCTGGTCAGGTGGGACTTACGCAGGAAGCTGCGCTGACACTCGGTGCAGGAGTACGGCCGATCCGCCACGTCCGGGGCCCGGGGACCCTGAGAGAGCCGAGGAGGCGAGGCCGGGAGTCACGAGGGAACGGGAGGTGATCCGGATATCTGTGCCTGCCGCAGACAAACAACCGTTACCATGGAGACACCACTGACACCGCCACACAGCTCAAGTGTGGGAAATGCCGCAGCATGCCCCGCCCACCCCGGTATGTGCCCGAGATATGGCAGCAATGACCCTCCGACCCGCCATCTCCCCCCCAGTGCCCCCTACTGGGCGCCTTTCACTGCTACAACACAACAATGATGGGGGTTCTCACTGTATTCACCGACACCAATGTGGGGGTTCTCACTGTATTCACCGACACCAATGATGGGGGTTCTCACTGTATTCCCGACACCAATGATGGGGGTTCTCACTGTATTCACCGACACCAATGATGGGGGTTATTACTGTGTCCACCGACACCAATGATGGGGTTCTCACTGTATTCACCGACACCAATGATGGGGTTATTACTGTGTCCACCGACACCAATGCTGGGGGTTATTACTGTGTCACCGACACCAATGCTGGGGTTATTACTGTGTCCACCGACACCAATGCCGGGGGTTATTACACTGACACCAATGATGGGGGTTCTCACTGTGTTCACCGACACCATGATGGGGGTTATTACTGTGTCCACCGACACCAATGATGGGGGTTATTACTGTGTTCACCGACACCAATGATGGGGGTTATTACTGTGTTCACCGACACCAATGATGGGGGTTATTACTGTGTTCACCGACACCAATGCTGGGGGTTATTACTGTGTTCACTGACACCAATGATGGGGGTTATTACTGTGTTCACCGACACCAATGATGGGGGTTATTACTGTGTCCACCGACACCAATGATGGGGGTTATTACTGTGTTCACCGACACCAATGATGGGGGTTATTACTGTGTTCACTGACACCAATGATGGGGGTTATTACTGTGTTCACTGACACCAATGATGGGGGTTATTACTGTGTTCACTGACACCAATGATGGGGGTTATTACTGTGTTCACCGACACCAATGATGGGGGTTATTACTGTGTTCACCGACACCAATGCTGGGGGTTATTACTGTGTTCACCGACACCAATGCTGGGGGTTATTACTGTGTTCACCGACACCAATGCTGGGGGTTATTACTGTGTCCACTGACACCAATGCTGGGGGTTATTACTGTGTCCACCGACACCAATGCTGGGGGTTATTACTGTGTCCACCGACACCAATGCTGGGGTTATTACTGTGTCCACCGACACCAATGATGGGGGTTATTACTGTGTCCACCGACACCAATGATGGGGGTTATTACTGTGTTCACCGACACCAATGATGGGGGTTATTACTGTGTCACCGACACCAATGATGGGGGTTATTACTGTGTCCACCGACACCAATGATGGGGGTTATTACTGTGTCCACTGACACCAATGATGGGGGTTATTACTGTGTTCACTGACACCAATGATGGGGTTTATTACTGTGTTCACCGACACCAATGGGGGTTATTACTGTGTTCACCGACACCAATGCTGGGGGTTATTACAACACCAATGTTGGGGGTTGTTACTGTGTCCACCGACACCCTCCTCCTCCAATCACCACCCCCACTCCCACCACTCCCCCTCCAATCCCCACCCATCCTGACATTACCCCCACCACCCCACCACCAGTCCATCTCCTCCCACCTATCCTCCATCAACACCCACTCCCACCACCCATCCTCCAATCACCACCCACTCCCACCACCCATCCCGCCAATAACCACACCTCCACTAACACCCACTCCCACCACCCATCCTCCAATCACCACCCATCCGCCAATCACCACCCTCCACTCCTGACACTCCTCACCACCCAGCCAGTCCATCTCCTCCCACCCATCCTCCAATCGACACCCACTCCTCACCACCCATCCTCCAATGCTCGGGGTTTATTACTCCCCCACCCGACCCAATCCGCCACACCACCCTCCACTCCTGACACCCTGACCTGTGTTCCCAGCCCATCCACAGTCTCCTCCCACTCCCTACCTACCACTGTGTCACCACCCCATCCCACCACCTATCCCCCCACCCCCCCCTCACACCAATGCCCGTCCATCTGTGTCCCACCCTTCCTCTGTGTCACCACCCATCTAACCTCAATACTCTCCATCCAGATGTCTCCCTATCAGTCCTCCACTACCTCCACCGACACCAATATCGCCAATCTCTCCATCCAGATGTCTCCCCATCTGTCCTCCACTCCCATCCTCCCTCTATCTACCCCCAATGCTGGGGGTTCCAGATGTCTCCTCGTCTGTCCTCCACTCCCCCGATCCTCCCTCTATCCACCCCCAATATATCCATCCAGATGTCTCCCCCATCTGTCCTCCACTCCCAATGATGGGGGTCCATCTATCTACCCCCAATGATGGGGTCTCCATGTGTTCCAGATGTCTCCAATCTGGGGGTCCTATACTCCCCATCCTCCCTCTATCTACTATATCCACACCAGATGTCTATTACTGTCCTCCCACTCCCATCCTCCCTCTATCTACCCCCAATATATCATCCAATGTCTCCTCGTGGGTTATCCTCCACTCCCATCCAATGATTGGGGGGTTATTACTGTGTCCACCCACCAATGATGGGGGTTCTCCAGTGTCTCCCCAATGTCCTCCACTCCATCCTCCAATATCTCCCCCAATTATTATCCATCCAGATGTCCCCCATCTGATGGGGTCCTCCCTCTGTCTACCGCCAATATCTCCAGATGTCACTGACACCAATCGTCTGTATGTCCTCCACTCCCTCCTCCTCTATCCACCCCCAATATATCCATCCAGATGTCTCCCCATCTGTCCTCCACTCCCATCCTCCCTCTATCTACCCCCAATATCTCCATCCATGTCTCTCGTCACCGACACCACTCCCATCCCCCTCTATCCACCCCCAATATATCCATCCAGATGTCTCCCCCATCTGTCCTCCACTCCCATCCTCCCTCTATCTACCCCCAATATGTCCATCCAGGTTATGTGTCTCCCCATCTGTCCTCCACTCCCATCCTCCCTCTATCTACCCCCAATATCTCCATCCAGATGGGGGTCCCCATAACTGTCTTCCACTGCACATCTTCCCTCCATGTGTTGCTAATAGCCCCACCCCACCTCCCCTTTATATACCCATCTAGGCCCTCTACTCCCAATTTCCCTCCATCTACCACTCCCCTTCCCCACCTGTCCTTCAATACTCTCCATCCATCATCCTCTCTACTTATGTCTCTTACCATTGCAGTGTTCCCGGGGAACGTTTTCACTTTTAATCAGGTGCGATGTCCCTTCTGGCACCATTTTGTACCGCCTGAGCCCATGCAGGAGAAGACCTGAGAACCTCACAATGACAGGGGGTCATTACAGTACTCACCGGAATGGGGGGTTATTACCCACTGCAGACACAGATGGGGTCCTCCCCCACCCCTGTACCCATCAACCAATGCAAAGTGTTATTACTGTCAGACTGCCACTGACACCATGTTACGGGTTACCCTCATCCAAGACCACCATGATGGGGATACCTTCATCCAAGACCACCATCATTGGGGGTTATTACCCCCATCCACCGACACCATGGGGGTCATTACTGGGATACCCTCATCCAAGACCACCATCATTAGGGGTTACCTTCACCAAGACCCAATTAGGGGGTTGTCATCCAAGACCACCATCATTATGGGGGTTACCCTGTGTCCACCATCATTAGGGATACCCCTCCAACTGACCACCATCATTAAGGGTTACCCTCATCCTAGACCACCATCACTAGGGGTTTACCCTCCATCTAGACCACCATCATTAGGGTTCCCCTCAAACTCCTAGACCACCATCAATTAGGGGTTTCCCTCACTCCCATCGACACCATGGGGTCATCATTAGGGGGTATTTACCCATGTGTCCTAGACCACCCCATCATGATTGGGGATTACCCTGTCATCCAAAACCACCATCCATGATTAGGGGTTACCCTCATGTCCAAGACCACCATCATACCTAGGGGTTATTACCAGTCATCCTAGACCACCAATGCATTAGGGGTTATTACCTTCATCCAACGACACCATCATTAGGGGTTACCTTCCATCCTAAACCTCCTCATTAGGGGGTTACCCTCATCCCATACCATCAATTAGGGGTTATTACCCTCATCCAAGACCACCATCATTAGGGGTTACCTTCATCCAAGACCCCCATCCATGTTAGGTTACCTTCATGTCCAAACCCACCATCCCCAGGGTCCTCCTTCATCCCAAACGACCGCCATCATTAGGGATACCCTCATCCCAGAATGACCATCAGGATCCCCCTGAATCAACCAGGTTACCACTCTCCAAGACCCCCCATCATTAGGGTCACCACCCTCATCCTTAGACACCCCCCATTAGGGGTTACCATCATTCCACACCACCCACCATCATTAAGGGTTACCCAATCACATTCATCCACAGACCACCATCAATTAGGGTTACCCTCATCCAAGACCACCATCATTGAGGGGTACCCACCTTCATCCTAGACCACCATCATTAGGGACCCCCACCCTCATCCAAGACCCCCATCATTAGGGGGTTACCTTCATCCAAGACCACCATCATTAGGGTTACCCTCATCCAAGACCCCCATCATCCATAGGGGTTACCCTCATCCAAGACCAATACCATCACTAGGGGTTACCATCATCCAGACCATCCAATCATTAGGGATACCCTCATCCTGAACCACCCATCAATTAGGGTTTCCCTCACCCAAGACCGCCATCAGGAGAACCCTGACTTACCCTCATCCAAGCCATCACCTCCCATCCCATTACCTCATCCCCTCCCATACCCCCCATCATCCTAGGGGTCTACCATCATTCAAGACCCCCATCGACTATTAGGGGTCCCCACCGCATCCAATAACCGCCATCCAATATCTCCCATCCCAGGGGTTACCCATCT